TGGTCATGTCGACTCACGAAAATTGTATCGCAATCGGATATATAATAATAATATGCATTAGGGCAAAACAAACATTTTATAGAGGTATGCACACTTATAATTACGTGTATGCATAGCACCTGCATTGTTGGTAAACGTACACAATAACAATACAAGTAAAATTACAGTCGGTTTGATGATGAAATTTCCAAAAATTCCAAACTAGACACCAGAACTGGAACAGATTTTTTCGTATTGCGTTAACGTTGATGCCCCATCAGATTGTTGAACAACTTCCAATCGGTATTATATCTTCATTGGGAAGAACAAAATAAGATGAAGAAGAAGAAACGGTGCACATAATCAAAAAACGGTGCCTGTAAGGGCAGAACAGCGACTCTGTCCTACCGGATGTTACCTCATGATTGCAACCAGATAACCGATGTCACGAGGGTGTTTTTGGAGTAGTTAGCGGAATTAAAGAATCTTTGTTAAACAGTGTACAAAATTCTTCTAATTGTAAATAAAAAATGTAAAAACAAAGCAATGTTAAATATGTCAATGTTGTTTAATGTTCTGATGTTGGTAGCTAACTAGCTTAAAAATACTAATAAAATGTCGTAATTCAATTTACCACACCAACAAAATATAACATAAAACCAGAACATCTCGTTATAGCAAGATAAATCTAGAACTAGAACATGTCAATGCAGCAAATTAATATTCAATATTGTGAGTCACCGTACTGAGTCTAGACAAAGTATTACAGCCCTCGCGACACTACACTAAACGTAAAGACCCGATACGAAACAGTTTAATCCAAAAAATCACCATCTATAAGGTAACAACGATTCATAGATATAGGAAAAAGAACACAGTTCTACTGCAAGTAGTTGAGGAGTTCGGTACTCTGAAGACTGTCCAGATTCCAGATGCAAGATACCATATCATTGTAATGTCATCGGATTTCCAGGGTACACCAAATTTCCAACAATGAACTGTGTAAACAGGCAAAAGAAAAAAGTGTTCATAGTTGCATGAATTAAAAATACCTACCTGTAACGCGTACGTAAAAAAAAAGAAAATGTCGGTAACATTTAAATTAAAGTGTTTTGGTATTCTTTAGTTTTTTCCTCCTTTTATCATCAAAAAAAAATTAGAGAAGTGGACAGTAATGGATTTCCATACTTTGCAGGCCTTGGCCAGGAAGAAGTTTCACGATCCATATATGATAAACTTTCCGTGTATATTTTTTGAAAGTAATGCAAACATTTCCGAGCATGTTTGAGAAAATATTATTTCCATGACTTACATTCCTACACTTACATATTATATATACTATATTATTCCCTGATTCTACGAACATCTGCCCACAGATCTGAAAAGTGTTACAAACGACGAAACCAACATCATGGCGGTCATGGTACGATTCCGTCGAGCAGTATTTTGGATATACCGGTCCTGTCTGCGAGTCGTGATGCGAGATCGTCCTCCATGTCGCTAGGCCACGCTGCCCGTCATGCGATAGCGCGTCCAGAGGCGACTTATGACGCTCTGTGTAGTGTTAAGAGTGAAAGCCACAGCACGTTGCCTGGAACCACCTTTCAACATTCCGACGGCTCGCATCATCACTTCTCGGGTTAAATGATGTCGTCTCTCCATAATAATGTAAATTGTTTCGGTTCCGATGCAGATATTGTAATGATTTTGTCAAAACGTTAGTATAGCGTGGCCTCAGGCTTGCTAATAAGCGATCAAACAATCCGAAATCGTTTACATGAAGTGGGTCTGCGATCCCGAAGGCCGCTCAGAGTTCCACCTATTGCACCCTGCAATCGCAGGACCCGTTTACGATGGGCTCGCGAACGCAGAAACTGGGAGGAAGAGACTGGCGCTATGTGTGCTTTTCGGATGAATCCCGTTTCGGTATGAGACTGGATACGAGACGTACTCGAGTATGGAGAACATCTGGACGTCATGAACGTTTGAGATATTGTCAGGAAGTTCATCCATATGGTGGGGGAACAATAATGATATGGGCCGGTATTTGGATCGGCGGAAGAACCGATCTCATTTGGATCAGGGGTAACCTCAATGCTCAAGTTTACGCAGAGAGGATTGTTTCAGATGTTATCATCCCTTTGCGAGGCCAGTTGGGTGATTCATTTCAACTAATGCATGACAACGCACGTCCACACACGGCGATTCGTTCAATGTACCTAACATTGAACGAATCGCTCGTTTTTGCAACACAAATATGGTGTGTATATCTGCTTATTACTAAGTGAGAAAAGAGCCATTGATCTTTAAATAGCTGAAACATCCTGATTAAGTTTGTCTTAAATAAGAAAAAACGCTATGATGTCAGCCCATCCGTTCGGGAGCTACTTATATACGATGCCTCAGAGAAACATACAAGCGCACAGATACCACAAGGAAAGACTCCAAACTTGTAACTCCCCTTTTGGAATCGGGGATTAAAAAGGCTAACTACCGGAGATATAAGGAGCCAAGTAACAACTTGCACAAAATAAAACTGAAAGAAGCCCGCAGACACTGCCAAATTCTACAAAACGGCAAGACGCAAAACAATACAGGAATTTCTCGGAAGACTTGATAATTCACTTAAGAGTTAGTGCGACCGCAAATGGCTTTGGTTGACTCCGCGTAACAGTGAGAGTGTTGAACCAATCACTTTGGAAAAAATATATAGTATAAATCAGAGTACTAAAAAAACCGACCTTAAAAGTACGTAGAACTACGTCTATTTGCTAAGTTTTATTGAAATATCCCCTACTTCGCCACTATACAGGACTTGACACTGGAGATAATAAAAATAGGTTCTCACTAGGTACTCAAAGTATATTGAGAGAAAAACGCCTTGAATTGGAGAAATAGCAAAATCAACCATTAAAGTAATTGCTCCTAAATTAAAGTTAGGCGCTATTTATAAAAATGAATCTTCATGCGCGAACAGCCACCCTTCAAGATGGATGATTTTCTTCAAAATGAAATGGGACCACTATGGAAGTACCCCCTTTCCAACAAAAAAGAATCATGAAAATCGGTTCACAAATATCGGAGTTATCGCGTAACATACAAAAAAAAAGAACATACAGTCGAATTGAGAACCTCCTCCTTTTTTGAAGTCGGTTAAAAATTAAGGATATACACTGATTTCTATGCGGTGGGAAAACACGATTCCTAAAAATGTTCACGTTAGAAAAAAAACACAAATTTACCTCGAAATTTTACAAAAAAAACCTCTGTATTCAATAGGTACTTTATAGTATACGATTAAAGTACGTATAGTATACGATGTACATTTTTCAAACGGCTTTAATTTGTTAAAAATTTATTCTGAAAAGTTTAAATTCGAGCTGTGAGTATCGACTCTTAAAGGAAAGCGTGTTATTAATCCATTTCATGAGCATTAAATAAAAATAAAATAAAATAAAATGCATTTCTTCCGGACTACAAGAAGATCCATAAAAATGTTAGTATTTCAGCAAAAACTCAAATCTCTATGTTAATACTGTAGACTGGGCAGTATGATTAGAAATAGTGGCTGAATGAATGTAGGTTGTGTTAAGAATTGTATAAAAAAAATAGGATGGAAAAGAAGAAAATCTTGGTTGTTCTAGAACAGGTTTCGACTGGAAATACGAAATAAATATTTATTAATGGCTATAGTTGTTTTATTTTTAAAAAGTGCCTCACGCAAACCCAAGCTACGTCCCTGTTACAGTACGTAAACTTAAATGAAGAGAGGATCAGTGCCTTAGCAGTCCACTGTCCCATCTGTGCGCAACAACTGTCAAGAGTATGTGGCAGCCGGCGCGCACCTCACGCATTGTCGCGGCACAGCGCTTGCGCACGTCAACCTTCGCATCCGCGAACATCCCGGACGCACTACAGTACGCGTCGTTGTACTGTACACGCATTTAGTAACTACACCATAAACTACAGGCGTACAGCGATGTGCAGCTTTAAATAAAATCACTTTTACCAGCGCTGTACATCGACTGAATATTAGGTCTCATTGCTGATGCTCTACATTCCCTCTCAATGTCTGCGCTATCTCGCATTATCTCGCGTCTCCTCTAAAAAGAAGGTTTAGGCCGCCACTGAGACCCCATTCCTGTTTGGGGTTTTGACACGTTATCCAAGAGTTGTGCAGGCTTCATTACTATTCGCTGTTAGCGATATTGATATTTAACATTAAAAAATGTGCGTAACTTAGAAACCGAAGTCGTAGCTACATACCGCCACCGGGACTCGGATTGTAGACCTCACAATTGAATAGCAAGCATTATAATATCAAAATGTTGCGATTATTGGATTAGTTAATGATTGGACAAATAACACAATCATTACAATTATAGGTATTTAATGAAAGAAAGTTATTATGTATTTTACAACTAGAAAGCTACAGATAAAACAATTTAGCCTGTGCGTACTTCTTTGTGGAAAGAATTGCCCAGACCATAGAGCGCTGTAAAAAGCACAGTCTACATTACAATGACACTTCAATTGCCATGCTCGGAGGAATATTTTTCATCATTCACATCCTTAGATTATGGTAACCAATGCCAAGCGGGCATCAAAAATATACTGCCATTAATCTGCTCACGTTGATTTGGCAATCTTCGCAGATTCGATTTGAGTACTTCAATTCATGATATTGCCAATAACATAGATGATTAAGTGTGATATTTTTGATAAATAATTAAGTAAGAGCACTTTATAATTACAGATCAGGATCGTTTGCATCCAACGAATAGAACTACATTCGTTTGCCCACATAAAAAGGAACCATGACATGTAATGCAATTGTTAACACTGCTTCTCGCTACAGCATTTATCAGAAAATGTACAATTTTATAAAATAAATTCAAGCCCATTCAAGTAGGGCTGACATATTTTAACAAAATTCGCTGTGCGCACAATCGCTTCAAGTTGCAGTTCACTACCTGTCAATAAGCAAGGCAGAAGGTAAATGATATAAATATTGAACTCACCCCTCATCTTCGTCGGACTCCCTGAACAGCCAATCCGGAATGAATGGCGCAGACAACTCTGGTGACGCACCGTTAATGTCGATCAGCTCCGGAGTCTTCGATTTAGCAGCCACGGCGCAGCCGTTGCATATCCTTAGATGCCCGTACTCGTAAGGCAGGGCCTGGACGTCGGCTGGATTGTTGCGTGGTCTAACACCTCGGAAGTGTCCATCCAGAGCATAAGGTCTCCAAATTGGATGCGGCGGCGCTTGAGGATTTGGCGGCGCTTGCGCTCCGCTACCCGAAGGTCCTGGTGCTGGCACCGCATACCATGTTGGGGCAGGACGTGGACGTGGTGAGTTACGCATGGCTCTCAAGAGGTACACTAGTTCCTGTTCGACGTCATTCTCCTCCCTGGAGTTGAAAAACTCCGCCACCTCTTCGTCTATGTCCTGAAACGAGATCAAAATTGTTACCTTGCCGTAAACAACTAACCTTTAGCTTTGTGCTATTGTGATCATTTGTGATGTTCGTTGGATATAACATAGCGACGGACCCACTTTATCTTTTTTTGCAAAAATTCAAAAAAAGACTTGCCCGCTCAAAATACACCTCATAATTTTTATTTTGAGATTTATTTTCCAAATAATTTTTTAAACATAAACACCACAAGCTAACAACCACCAAAGTAATTTACGTCTAGAATTAAAATTTGAAGGGGCTTGTTTTATTAATTTCTGATAAACCATCAATATTTTCTTGTTTCAAATTTTAATATAAGATATGGGTGTGTAATCGAAGATATAACAACAAATAATCTATTTTCACTTGGTATAATAACATTTGATATAATTTTTAAGGATATAATAACTCACTGTATATAATCAACAAAAAGTATAACAACAAAAGGCATAATTTCATTGTGTATAATGAACCTTCAATATAACAAATATTAGATATAATGATTAAGTGACATAATGAACAAATGGTGTAAGTACTACCAGTATAATGTATTACATAATATAACACAACATTTCGTTTTACGAATAGTTAAAGCGCCATACACTATGTTGATAAGATTTTTTTTATTCCATTAAATGTACAATCGCAAACTATAATTGTTTTTGTATAGCTTTAAGTGTTATAAAATATGTTTATTAAAACTTTGAGCAGAATATTTAATTGCATATACTCACCTAACCTAAACCCACAGGAGGAGGTCGAACCAACTACGAAATGCG